ACCTTTATTGCCCACACACACACCCAAAATTCACACACACACACACACACAATTAAATGATTGTTTAGGAGTTACCTTGGCCAACCCATTGTCTAGTGGTTGGCGGGTTCCAGTCTACCCGAACGGAGTGCCGATATCTCGGTGTGGTCTGTGTTGGTTCCGGTAACGGAATGTGGACTTTCTTCTTTTCGTCAAAGTAGAAGAAATAATACGGTTTCTTTTGTGCACTATCCTGTGGAGATTGTTTATGATTCGAATATCCTTTTCCAAAGGATTTCTTTTCGTCAGCACTAAATATGGTGTGTGTTTCATTAAAGGTCAAATGCCTATGTTTAGTGAAACACACGGGAGCTATATGTCCTACCCTATTGCAATAATGGCATACTACGTTTGGGTTGAACATGTGCCTAGGTTGATAATAGCTAGGGGGCCTAACCATATTCATTCTATTTTGGGAAAATATTGGTTTTTGAAAACTCTCTCTTCTAGGTGTTCTAGCATTATTTTGTCTATTTGAAAAATTAATTTTATGCACAAAATCATTTTGATAGTTTTTATTGGGTTGTCTAACATGCACATTTTCATTCCCAGGCTTTTGTCTAGGTTGTCTAGTGTCCTTAGGTTGACTAGATTTTCTATTATCCTGATTTTTACTTTTCTCATGTTGAGCCTTAGGAGGTTGTCTAGGTGTTTGCTCAAAACCTATTCCTTCTTTAGAAAAATGCATGGTGTCAAGGAGTAAATTAAGATTTTTGTGCGGAGTATTAAATTTCTTAACCGTACTCTCAAGTCTAGTGACTTGTTCCTTTAAAACTTTACAAGATTCACATTCGTTTGAGGAACTTTCAGGTTTGTTGGCACTTCTTTTGCCATAAAATTTATTTTCTTGTTTCAACTTCTCATTATCTTTTTCCAACTTTTCAAAATCATTTTCAAGAGTGGAAAAGCGTTTCTTTAACGATTTGTTCAGTTTAGAAGCGCTAACAAATTCATCATAAAGTTCGTGAAGTGCTTCTTGCATTTCTTCAAAAGTGTAAGAGTCGGAAGAAATGGTACATACCTCTTGTACATCGTCGGTTTGGTCTTCGTGTGCCATGAGACAGAGGTTGGCAACTTCATCCTCGTCTTCCTCTTGTTCGCTTGACTCATCGCCGGAGTCGCCACCCCAAGAGATGTATGCTCTTTGCTTTGGAGGCTTTTAATGCTATGCCTTTTCTCTGGTCATTAAAGACGGGTTAAGTATAGTAGATTCATAAGTTTTTAAATTACCTCTTAAATCGTCGATGGTGACAGTTGATGTGCCGATTGACTCATAGATGGCATCGGCCTTGGATCGCCATTCGGATGTCAAGCTCCGTAGGATCTTTCGCACAAGATCCCTGTCGGTGTAAGTCTTCTTTAATGCATGAAGATCGTTGACTATCTTGGAAAAACGGTCGAACATATCATCGACATTCTCGTGCTCCTTCATCCTGAACATCTCATATTCTTGGGTGAGGAAGTCAATCTTGGCTTCACGTACTTGGTCCGTTCCTTCGTACGTCACCTCAAGTTTATCCCACATCTCTTTGGCGGTTGAGCAGCAAGAGATCTTGCGGTAGTCATCAGGATTTACGGCACAATAAAGCATGTTTATTGCTTTTGCATAATTCTCGACCTTTTTGATGTCCTCGGCATCAAACTCGTCTTCGGTCTTGGGGATCAACTTGTCTCCGACTTTCTTCATCGGTACCTCTTCCCCGTTTTTGATAACCAACCATAATTGGAAGTTCGTGGAACGAATATAGATTCTCATTCGTTCTTTCCAATATGTATAATTGGTTCCATCAAAAAGAGGTGGCCGTGTGGTTGATTGCCCTTCACCTATTCCTGCATACAAATTTCTAGAAGAAGAACCCATGATCGCTTTACTCTCAAACGGTTAAGTTTGGACGCGAGTTAGGCTC